GCAGCCCCGTCCTCAGGGAGCCCCAGTCTGAGAGAGATGCAGCCCCGTCCTCAGGGAGCCCCAGTCTGAGAGAGACGCAGCCCCGTCCTCAGGGAGCCCCAGTCTGAGAGAGACGCAGCCCCGTCCTCAGGGAGCCCCAGTCTGAGGGAGACGCAGCCCCATCCTCAGGGAGCCCCAGTCTTAGGGAGACACAGTCCCGTCATCAAGGAGCCCCAGTCTGAGGAGAGACACAGCCCTGTCCCGGTATGTCCTGGTATGCCCCAGTCTGACGGAGACGCAGCCCCGTCCTCAGGGAGGCCATCTTAGGGAAGACTCAACTCATTCACAGGGAGCCCCAGTCTGAAGGAACTGTCATGCCCCTTGTCCTCTGTTTAATTTCCTGTGTGGCCCTGGGGGTTTTATCAATATCTCAGCGCCTCAGTTTTCTTGTCTGTGTAATGGCGGCACTGCTACACACCTCAAAGTTGTTTGTGCGTGCCAGTCAGATTACAAAACCCAAGAAAAATGTAGCTATTCTTTTTCATTTGGGGTTTTCTTGTGGAAGAAATCATCGCATTTAGTCTCTTTGGAGAAGCCATTTGCAGTGGGATCTTGTGCAACTCCCATTCCCATCGCAAAGACTAAAGTCTTGATGGTCTGGTTGTCTTGACACCCCTGGGCTTCCCAGGCAGCCCCAGGCTGGACGTTTATAGTCAACAAATATCATGGAAAGTCAGCCATACAAGAGACCCCAAGCCTGAGGACATGAGTGCAGCAGGGGTCAAGGCAAGCCCTGCAGTCACCCACCCTAGGCCAGTTCACTCCAGAGCTATGGTGACAGAGGGAGGAAGGTCCCTCTCACTGGCTACCTGCCCCCGCCACTTATCTGTCTACCTGGGGGACCCTTGACAGCTTCAGAGGCTGGCTTCAGGGGACCTGGGGGCATACCCACTCAAACCTGCAACTGTGAATGAGGATGGGAGGCTGCCAAGAGGTGTATGTGTGGGAATGTGTCTCCAGCCCAGTCACAACTGAAGAATGGAATTCCCTCTCACACGCACTGAACCATGATACCACGTACGGCTGTCGCAGGGGCCAAGTCTTTCTATGGACCTAGAGGGTCCAGGCTCTAGCTATAAATGTCCCCAGAAAACAGTCTGGTTGTTCACTTCTTGGGTACTTTGTAAAATTTGCTTTTTATTGAGATGTCAGATTTGTGCATCAAATTGTACAAATCATAAGGGTGCAACTTGGTGAATTTTATGTAATGCCCATACAACCACCACCAGGTGCAAGCACATAATATTTTCAGTGCCCTGAGAGCCTCCCTCTAACCCCTGCTATTCTGACTTCTATCCCCATAGATCTGCTTTGCCTGTTCTTGAACGTCATATAAATGGAATCATAGCGTATGTACTCTTTTGTGCCTGCTTTGTGCTGTGCCGCATTATATCTGTGAGGTTCATCCATGGTGCTCAAGTAACACTATGTCTTCCTTTTGTACTGCTGAGTAGTATTCCATTAAGTAGATATGCCTCAATTTGTTTACCTACTCTGGGACATTTAGGTGGTTTACAGTTTTTCATTAATATGATGAAAGCAGCCACAGCATTCCTGTATGTTTTCTGGTGCTCCTAAATATGGCAACCCAAATCCTGAGAGCAAATTTTGTGGGCAACACATGGTTAATAACTCCAGGAAAGAGGAATTAAAAATGACTGAGCTCCTGCTCTGGGCCACGGGCTTTTGTGGATCCACTGGACCAACCACAAAGGAAGGAAGACAGAAAGAGCAGCTCCCAAGGGGAACTCCGCTGTATCACTGAGCCTGGAGCCAGCTGTGTGTGTGTGTGTGTGTGTGTGTGTGTGTGTGCGCGCGCGCGTGCGCACGTGTGTGTGTGTGTGTGACTGGATTTGTTGCCTGGGGCTGCCACAACACATAACCACAGACTTGGTGACTCAGTGGTTTAAAACGACGGAAATGAATTCTGTCTCAGTGAAGGATGCGAAAACTCTGAACTCAAGGTGTTGACAGAGTCTTTCTTCCGGAGGCTCTGATGGAGATTGTTCCATGCCTCTCTCCTTGTTTCTGGTGGCTGCCAGCACCTTGGTATTACTCGGCTTGTAGCTGCACCACTCCAATCTCTGACTCCATCCTCACGTGACCTTCTCTGTGTCTCCATGTCTCTGTTTCCAAATCTTTTTCTCCTTATAAGGACACCAGTCATTGGATTTAGGGCCCAGTCTAATCCAGTGCAATCTCATCTTAATTTGATTACATTACAAATACCTTATTTCCATCTAAGGTCATAACCCCAGGTACTGGGGGTTAGGAGTGCATAAGTGTGTGTGTATTCATGTGTATAAGTGTGAGGGCCAGTGTGTTATGTGCATGTGCTTGTGAGAACATATCTGTGATGGTGCTTCTGGGTGTGCTTATGTGACTGTAGACATGTGTATATGAGTACATGTGTGTGTACGTGCTTCTATTTCTATGACTTGGAGACCCTGCTGGATGAGCTGAGAGCTGAGAACGGTGGCAAGGCAGGATGGTGGCAGCGGGTTGAAGAGGTGCTTGGGGCCAGCCAGGTGAGCAGGCAGGCCTTGCCTCATGAATCTGCAAGAGTAGCTGGTGGATACAGACTCTGAGAAACAAGGACAAATATGTTTTTTGAGCTAGGGTACAGGCTGGCAGGCCCAGGCAGTAGCCCCTGACAGCAGTGCCTGTTCCCAGGAATATTCCTAGAAGCCCCTCCACCCAAGCTCCTGACCCTTGCATCCCATTTTCCTGGACAGAGAGGCACTGCCTGACTCCTCCATTCCCAGGGATAAAAGTCAGCATTCAGTTACCTATTGTGCCAGCCAGGTAGTAGCATCTGTAGTCCTAGCTACTTCGGAGGCTAAGGCAAGAGGATCACTTGGGCCCAGGAGGTCAAGGCTGCAGTGAGCCATGATTGCACCACTGCACTCCAGCTGTGGTGACAAAGTAAGACCATGTCTCCAGAAATAAATTAATTAATTAAAATAAAATAAACTTCACAACCAAGTTTAAATGGTGTTCTCATTTGCCCATTTTACAGATGCAGTCACTGAGGCCTCAAGGAGTTAAGTGATCTACCTAAGATTACACCCCTTTGTTTACATGTGCTGAAAATCTTCAATTCTCTCTGGAAATCCATATCCTTCGCCCCCACCCCAGACTCAAACCACAGCTGCTCCCACGGAGGCCCACCTGTGCACCCCAGACACACCCTTAAGTGCAGTCTTCCTCCCATCCTTCCCCAGGAAGATTCCCTGGTCTGCGGGTAGCGAGTGTTGTGGGTGGTCTCTCCTTCCCTCCCATGTTTCTGGATTCCTCTGTGGGGTCCTGGTTTTGTTTTTGGTGTGCCAGCAAGCTCACTGCCTTTTTGAGTACTGTATGTCAGTGGGTTTGCACGCACACACCTGGAGGAGGGGTGTCTGGGCATGAGGGGTGTCTGGGCAAGTGAGCTTACTTGCCAACCAGGGGCACATGTGGGTACAGTGCAGGGGAACATACATTGCACAGGTTGTATCTGTGTGTGTGCCTAGGCACAGGCGAATGAAGGGCCTGCCTGCTGCAAGTTTGGGGTTCTGTAGAATGACTCCCCATTTCTCTCCCCTTCCCAAATAACTGCCAGCGTCTTCAGTTCAGACTCCTGGCCTCCAGGTAAGGGCCTGGTGCAAACCGCCTCTGACTGGGGACAGAGACACCTGAGTCTCAAGCCCTGCCCAGGCTGCTAGTGCCCTTGAGCAGGCATCACCCCACCCAGGCAGTGGGAGTGTCCTCATTCAATGGGATAGGGTGACATGGTGGAGGAGGTCTGAAGGGGGGAGAAGGCAGCACGGCTTTCTGCTCCCTAGATGGGAGGCTCATTACCCTAGCACTCAGTAGGTTGTAGGGAAGGAGCCAGGACTTGGCACTGACTACAAAGGGTAAGGGGCACCCCCTAGCACTCCCGCCGTGCCAGGCCAGGGGAGGGACCATGACGTTCAGTGGCCTCATGCAGCTGAGAGGAAGTAGCTAATTGCCAACCTGATGACTGGCGGCTGAGGAGTGGGGTGATGATGCCACTGGCAGAAGCAGGCGCCCTGGCCCAAGGAGGAGGCCCTTCAGCAACGGAGTGGGCCTGCATTCTGCTGAGGGTGAGACTGAGGTGGCTGCAAAGAAGGGGGCAGGGGTTTGTTGAGGCTATGACTGTGGGAAAAAACTTCTCCAGAGCTTCGCTCAGCTTCAAGGGGAAAGAGTTCAGAGGCCTTGAGGGGATGAAGGGATTTGGGAAGGTGCTTCAGGGGGATGGGGTGGGGGGAAAGAGGTTCCTATTGTTGCTCCCCTTCTGCATATGCTCCCCCCACCTTCCTGACTCTCCCCTCCCCCACCTTAGCCCCCTCTTTGGCCACTGTGGCCAAAGTTGTTGAGGAAGGAGGGAGCAGATGGAGGATTCTTTTCACCAGAAGACCCGCAGGCACAAGCAGCCCACCTTGCTGATGGTCAGAGCATCCAGAAGAAGTGGTGAGACTTCAGCTGTCCTCAAAAGCAGGAAGAGAGTGTTTCTGGCAGAAAGAACACCTCAAGCAAAGGCTAGACAGTGGGGTCTGGTGAGGCTGATGGAGATCTGGGGCTTAGCTTCAACACTTAGGAGGTGGGCAGGATGTTCTGCACCAAGGGTCACACTGTCCTTTCCTGGAAGAAACAGTGGGTACCAGCACTCAGAGCTTCTCTTACATGCTGGCCACTGCCTCCGGCCGGGGCAGACCTGGCCCTCAACTGCCTGAGCAAGGGCCATGACCAGGTCAGGAGCCTCACAGGATGGGGACCCCACCTCCAATATTCCCAAGTGCATCAACCCCAGAGGACTGAAGCTCTGAGTCTCAAGAAACAAGTCCCATCCACCTGCAGGTCAGTCCGCTGGGCCCCTAGCACCCCCTATGGGCAGGAAGCAACACTAATGGAGGAGGAGCCTCCAGCAGCCTGCGGTGGTTGGGGGTGTGGGAGTGTGGGGTGAGGGAGGAGACACAGGCTTGCCTTCTAGGAAGCAGACAGGCCAAGTCTCAGGAAACCCCAATGTCACAGGTCACAGACACTGACCTTGAAGTGTTACTCTCCTTGGTGAAATTTAGCCCCTGTCCTCAGGAAGCTCCCAGTCTGATGGGGGACACATACAGTGCTCTCAGAGCTCCCTTCTTTAGGGTGAAACTCAGCATCTGGCTTCAGGAAACTCCCAGTGTGAGACACGACATCTGCCCCTAGGGATCTCTAGGGGGAGACCCACTGGGTTTTCGGGAACCACCAATCTGTTTCCAGACATGGATTAGACAAGTCAGTGCCTCTAGGGCTGCCAGGAAAAAAATACAGGATATCCAATTAAATTGAATATTACATAAACAACAAATAATATTTTAGCATAAGTCTGTCTCATGCAATATTTAGGACAGACTTATACTATTTGCCAAATCTGGTAACCCTAGGTGCCTCCAGTTTGAGGGAGGAGAGACGATACCCCGTCCATCCCAGACATGGGAAAGCAGGTAACACTTCCGCGTGCTCGGGAGGGCAGGGGTGGGGCAGGAGTAGAGTCCTGGGGCTCCGGCTCGCGGCAGTTTAAAATTCCTTCCAAGCCAGAGCCCTAATCCCTCGGTGCACAATGGCCGCCTTCTCCCCCGCCGACCGCGCCCACGCCCTCCCCCGCGGGGCCGTGGCAGTGCCACCAAGGGCCTCTTTAAGCCCCTTTGAAGCCGCGGAGCCCCGCGCCGCGGGAGGCCCCGCCGCTATGCCAGCTATGCCAACTATGTCCCCGCCGCCGCCGCTCCCCCATTAATGCTGGCTAATCTGGCTAATAAATAAACTCCGCTCCCCGCCCCCCGCAGAATCGATGTCAGGGCTCGGCTAGAGCAAGCGGCCCCACTCCACCCCACTCCCTCGAGATGTGGCTGACGTTTTGTCCTACGGCTGCCCTAGGTCTGCAGCCGTCTCTGATTCTTCGTGGCACGTGGGATCTGGGAGGTCTCTGCCTGTCCACTGCGTTTGCCTCCCTCTTTTCCAGTCCACCTGCGCACCAGGGGCACGACACGTGGCTGGGTGCAGACGCCGGACTGGAGTCGCGGAGGCCGCGCGGAACCACTGAGCGCGCGGCGGCGGCGGGAGGAGACGCCGGTCACGCCCCCTTCCCGCCCCCTTCCCGCCGCCGACAGGGCGCGCGCGCCGAGGAGCCCGGGACAGGTGACTCCTAGGGGACGGCGTCTGCGCCTTCCCCGGCGGGAGTCCCTTCTTCGCGGCCTCTGCCGCCCCCTGCGTCCCCTCCTGGGCTTCCGAGAGTCTGACTCAGCCGAGCCGGCATCGCTTCGCCTCCTACCACACACCCCGAGCGCGAGGAGAAATGACAGGATGGCAGGGGCACGGCTAATGCGCTCTAATTACCCACCGCCGCTGTCATCCGCGGCGCTCCGCGGCGCTGGGCCAACGCGCCGTAATTAGGCCGCCCCTCCCTGGTCCTGGAACCCGCCCTTCGCCACCCCCCCCCACCCACCCCGCGGCCCCCAGGACCACTGGCTGCAGCCCTCCGGGACTGCCCGTCAGTCCCGGGAGAGCTACGAGGCCTTACTGGGGGACTGAACTTGGGGAGACCGAAGCCGGCTCCTCCACTCCCCTAAACTTGCAGCCCACTATGGTCTCCGCTGGAAGAGACTGGGAGAGTGGGGAGGGGCCAGAGACCTATTTCGTTGACAGAAACATTGACTTCTATTGGAAAATTAGCCTTCAGTGGGAGAAGTGACAAAGGCACGCTGGGCATCAGTACCCCCACTTGGCACTTAAGGCACGGAGAATGGAAGGGAAGTCCGTCCAACCAGAACTTGTTGGTTGGACAACAAGTTCAACCAACTTGAACTTAAACAACCAACTTAAACAAGTGGGTTTAACACTTGTTTAACAGTAGCCTTATGAGCAGCACAATGGGCTCCCTCCCCTGACAGGGAAATTACCTTCCTGCCAAGAAAGGTGACATCCCCACCACAGACAGGGAACCCCGGCCCACTGGCTAACTGTGGCTTGCTGGTCATAGGGGAGCTGGTGAGGAGTGGGGTGGCTCTGGCCTCAGGTACGGTGAGAGAGGCCCTGAAGATAGAAGCCAGGCCTGTAGGCCAGAATTAAAGGGGCAGCGTGGCCATCAGCTCCTTCACCAAAACCAGGCCCAGAGCTCTCCTCTATCAGGAATTCTTTCCTGGGGTCCAGGAGGTTGCAAACTCATGGCCCTAGGCCACGTTTCATCTCCAGTGAGGTTTTGTTTGGCTTGCAATGAGTACCTGGGTTTTAGACTGAATGTGAGAGCCTGCAGACAATGTGAGTTCTCCAACTGCCCTCCCAGTGAAGCTGGACCTCTGATTTAGATCAGCCCACTGGGCCCGTGCCTTCACCCTTTTCCTCAGGGCCAGGACCTCAGTCCCCATGATTGCTGCCCCTTTGTGGTCTGCACATTTCTTGGTAAGCATACCCAGTCAAGTGTCTCTGGGAGCCCACTCTTTGTCATCGTCAGGTTCCCCACATGCAGTAGCCATGGTGGCTGCACATGCTCTCGGTTACCCCTCCACACTACCTTTGGTCATTTTGAGTTTCAGTCCGACCTGGGTGGACTGTATTTTCTCCAGCAGAGATGGTAGCTATTTTTCTGACATGAGACTAGAGCATGCTTGAGAAGAGGAAATTGGATCTCTCCCTGCAGACTGGGATTTCACTAAGGGCTGAGGAAGCGGGGAATATGGGAGGATTATTCTCCATCACAGGGAGCGTTCTGAGGTCAGGGCTGTGTCTCTGATTCAGACTGATGGTTCCCTGAGGACGGGACAGTGTCTCCCCTCAGATTGGGGCTCCCTCTCCCCTCAGACTGGGACTCCCTGAGGACAGGCTGTCTCCCCCCTTCAGACTGGGACCTCCCCCAAAGGACAGGGACAGTGTCTCCCCGAGAATAGGCTCTTTGTGTCTTCTGGATCAGACTGAGATCTTCATGAGGACAGGGCTGTGTCTCCCCCTCAATCTGGAGCTCTCTGAAGGCAATGGCCTCTCCCCTCAAATGGGCCGTTTGCACCCCACCCCACCCCCCAGCTCCCCATGGCGCCCAGGCATTCCTCCCAGGACACCATTTGTCACGCTTTGATGAATGAACCCTACTAAGAATAACTCAGTCCTTGTAGGCACTAAAGGACAGGGGGAGGGAGAGGGAGGAGGCTGGTGATTGTGGGGGTGCTGGGGGAGGAGGAACACACTCCATTTATTCAGTAGCATTTCCTGGATGCCCAGCTGGGTACTGGGGGAGACACAGTGAGTGCCATGGAGCCCCCTACTGTGCCATTTCTGCCACTGACAGCCAGGGGTGTCCCCTGAGACAGAAAGTTCAGGCCCCTGCTTCACAGCCTTCCCACCCCAGCAATGATTACCTCAGGGCCAGCCAGCCCCCTCCATGCCGATCATGAGCTCTCTCTGCTCCTCCCATCAGTGGAAGGGAGACTTTGAAATCAGGTGCTTGGGGTGGGGAAGCTGCTCCCAGTGGGGGTGTGAGGAACCCAGAGGATGAATCCCTGTCCCCCCACCACCTACTTTCTTCTTCCTTACCCTGCCCCTTTCCACTCCAAAACCTCAAGCCTCTAGTTCATATTCAAGTGACCTTTCCAATGCAACTGTTCTCAGGGGGCCCCTTGGGAACTGTGAGGCTGTGACCTTAACCCACTTCTTTGGATGGTGCCTTCCTGGCACTCCACCCCCACCTGCCACCTCCTGAGAGGAACATTTCGGCCTGTCTTGGCAAAAACATCAGTCTATGATCCAGGCAGCCTGGTACAATACCAGCTCTGCTACTGACACCACTGTGACCTTGAGAAACCATTTACAACCTATGGGCCTCAGTTTCTCCATAAGTAAAATGACTTTTGTTTAGGTTTCCTGATTTTCAAATCTTTTTTTAAAAACAATGAATGAATCCTCTTGTTTGAATTGTAACTCACGTGGCACCTCTGTTCTCTGTGGTAGCATAGGAAGAAGTTGGGGGTTCCATGGTCAAAATAGAGGTGGGCTTCATGCCCCAGCGGTTAGTCCATGACACACAAATGCACACATACATGTGCATACAGATCAGTTCCCAGGCACTGTGGAGCCCACTTGACAAATGTCTGAACTCTGAAATCCTTTCCCACTCAAACATTCTGGGACCCTGACAGGACTGGAAGCTCTAGAACCAGGAGTACTGTTAGCTCTGAGGATGAGGCCATGACTTTGGACCCTGGTGCCTAGGGCTGGGGCTTGAGCCAGCAGGGGTCCTTTCCACACTGGGTCCAAAGTCACAGCCTGGGCAAACCCTCACTGCCTTCTGCCCTCCCCACCCATCCAAGCCTGAGGTCAGATGGGCTTGTCTGATAGGCTGAGTCCTCTTAGGGGGGTGGCAGGGGCCACGTAGAGACAAGAGTGTCCTTCCTCAGTGGGAAAGGAAGCAGCAGGCTGGGTGGGAGGCTCTGGGAGCTTTTCTCTGGAATCCCTCTCACATGCATCGGAGGAGGGTCAGACCGGTAGGGTGGGAGGGCCAGCAGGGCCCTGCAGTGGCTGAGGGCTGGGGGCTGATCCCAGGAAGCCCAAGGGGGGAAGCATAGGGAGGGGAGACTCAGGGAGCTACACCACTCCATCCACAAGTATGAGACTTTGATACCAACAGGGAATGCAGGTAGGACAGGGCCCACTAGACACTGGTGATGGGAAGGCAACAGTGAAGATAGGAGCAGGTACAGCCCAAGGAATAAAAAAGGCACCAATAAGAGGCAGGCCTGGTCCTGGGCTCCCAGGTTAGGGCAGCAGGGCAGAGCTCTTCAAGGGAGAAACCACAGATACATCCCAGCCCCTCCTTGATGTTGTGAGTCAGAGGTACAGTTCCAAATGCCCAGGGTCATCACAAAGGAGGTGCTCCCCCCTCCCCTGCATCTGCATGGCCCTGGAGAGGCCATTGCTCCTGGTTTCCCTCAGGGAATATGGCCAGAGAGCTGCTGTGAGAGTCTTCCCTGAGTCCCTACCTCACTGAGATGTACAATGAGGTAAGGGAAGAGATACTCACCAGCTTCTATCCCTACATCCAAACACACACACACACACACACACAAACAGAGAGAGAGAGAGAGAGAGAGACAGAGAGAGAGAGGTATTTGTCCCCAGGGAATGCCTAGACACTTCACTGTCTTGGCTCTGGAAACCTCTAGACGGCTGCCATGTTGCCAGGCACAGCTCTGGGAACTGAGGCTGCTGCAATGAAAATGTCAGCCAAGTTCTCTGCCTTCATGGTGCTCACATTCTAGGCAGGGAAAGACAGATGATCAACGAGTGAAAAAAATAATAAATCTCAGGTCACAATGCAGCAAGTATTTGAAGAGTGATTTTGCACCGGGGATGGGGGGCGGGCACTGTTATACCTAGGGTGGTCCAAAAATATCTCTGTGAGGTGGTAACATTTGAGTGGGAACCTGGAAAACAAGAAGCCAGTCGTACTTTGGGGACAAAAGGAGAATAAGAAGCCAGTCCTGCTTTGGGGTCAAAAGGACTCCAAAAATTTAGTTTTTTAAATGGAAAAGATATATTTACCCATAAATATTAAAGGGAAGGAAAATGAAAACTGTGTTTCTGGAGCACCTATTATATGTCTAGCACTATGATGGAAAATTCACAGACATCATTTCCCATCACCCTCTTCAGAGCCCTGTGTGTCAAATAGTATTATTTTCATTTTACGGATATGAAATGAGAAATCCATAGAGATTATTATTTCCTTCATTTAAAAAGATTTATTGAGTATTCGCCTCTGAAAATGCTATAATAAATCCCATAGGGACCCTGCCCTTCTAGGGCCTATAGCCTGTGAGACTGAGAAGGGTCAGGGAGGTTTTCCTGGAGGGGTCATTGTCTGGGCCTGAAAGGATGAGGAGGGGGTGACAGGTGGAGTGAGTTGGAGGCGCCAGAATTTGAGGTAGAAGGAGCAGCCTGTGCAAAGGCCTGGAGCCCAGAGCACGGTGTGCCCGGAACTTCGAGTTGTGCAGGATAGCCCAGCCTGGAGGGGGAGTGGGGCAAACTGGGGCTGGGGGGCTGGCTGGGGCTGGGCATGAGGGGCGGGGTAGATCTGGACTTCCTTTATGGGAGACCATGCTATGAAAGGGTTATAACCAGAGAAATAGCAGGATCCGGTGTCTCTTTAAAAGGCTTCCTGTGGGGGCTGAGGTGAGGAGTGGGCTGGGAGCTGGGGGAGGGGGTGTGACTGGTGGGCAGAAGTACAGGACTGAGGAGGGGGTCCTGGCCAGGTGCCTGAGGAGGCTGGGGTGGTGAGTAGGACTCCATAGGCAGAACAGATGGGGCCACCTGGTGTGGTTGTTAGGCAAGGCAGGCGAGTGGGGCCCTAGGCAGAACTCTGATGACCTGGGTATTTCCAAGTGACAGGGTTACCAATGGCAAAAAGGTGGCTGCCAGCCAACAGCAAGGCCTATCAGACAATTCCTACAGGCTCACACACTGTACCATTACACACAGGCATGTGCACACCACACAGACACACAAACACACATGCATCTGGCCCCACTTCCCCATCTGTATTGATAGTCGGCTGAGAAGGGGCATGGGAGCCAGGGCAGAGATCACAGAGCAACAGAATCTCACTTAGCTCAGGCCCACACTCTGTGTACCTCTTTCTGGAGCCCTGGGGT